TATATTTTACCAGGTTATATACATTTTTTCCAGGATACAGTTATATACTACCAATGTATGAAACTACTTCATTTCCATCAAAAAAAAAACCAGGCCATGATTCTAACATTTTTTAAAACCATAAACATAATCACAAAATAATGCCAGTACCAAGTAATTACAATCACTCTGCAACATGATAGGTTGAAATTAGCATAAGCCATAACTATCTTGGACTTTCTTCATTAGAAAAATAACAAAAAGACTAATTATAAAACACTTTCACTTACAAAGTAATTTTTAGAGACAGAAATATCTATAACTTGTCCTGAAAATTTTGAAGTTTATAACTATAATGAATTTTATAAGCCACATCTAAGTTGCAATCTAAATATTAATCCTTCAATATTAACAGTATTCAAATTTCTAAAATGCAGTTGTAGGAAATCCAAGAACTTTAATGAATAAAAGTATATAAATTTCTGAGTTAAGATATTGAATAGATCTTAAAACCTTTTGAAGATACTAGTAATAATCATCAAGAAAGATGACTGGGGAGGAGAGAATTAGATGAACCACTTTAACTTGGTATTTTCAAAGTATACATCATCCCACTATTTTGGAACTAACGTACGGTGTCTAGCGCAGCGTTTTATATGCAATTGACATACACATTTTGGTTTGTAACTGAGTTACATGCCTCCAAGTTAAGTTTGTAGCTATCACAAATTTTTAATATTTGAAAATAATAACAATGATGATACGAATTAAATACTTGGTAATACTTACTCTCTAGCAGGCCCTAAAACAAATGCTTTACATGAATCTCATCACTTAGATACTACTATTGCTCCATTTTACAAGTGAAGAAACTGAGGCTAGGGAAGTGAATTTGCTAAGGCCCCAATGATATTAAATATTAGAGCCAGACACAGCATCTTAGTTTTTATTTTTTTTAAAGCAACCAGTTAGTTCCAATAACACAAAATCAGAACAAAAGTCTGCTTTATATAGATTGAAATATTTATATATAAAATATATAAAAGTACCTCTGACACTGTCAGTTATTGGAGTAGAAAGTGAGTTAACTAACACAAGAGATAGTGTTAGTACAGTGTATCATGTAGCCCAATTCCTTCATCTGATTAAAAAGCATAAATCTGCATGGAAGAGAAACTATAATGCAGTTCCAGCTGGGGGAAGAACCGGCACTAGAAATCCACAGGTACTACCTTTACTTGTTTATTGCATATCACTTTTAAAATAAGTATTACATGAAATATATGCATAAACTTGCAATTAATACCAACTTTGACATCAATTATTTCCTTGGGGAATTGTTTTGGTATTAACAAAATAAACTATGGCTTAACCTTCAAGATCTCTGAAGCAGAGGATTGTGCTTTTCAATTTGTCCTCTATAACCACATTAGGACAATAATCACTAAATGCCATATCCAGGCTTTCAGGTTCATAATCAAAGAACCAGTCAACTCTCATGTTTCGGCAATTTCCCTATCAAATTCTGGTATTTGTTAAAGAAGGTGATTTACTATTATGCATATGTAATGGTAGTATTCTCCAAAAGATATGAAAGCATAACAAAATTAAATAAATCAACTATTTTTCTATAGCTTTAATTTCATACCTCTTCTATTTTCAAACACTTTTTCCCTCCTTGCCATCCAAACGTCTCCAATTCCTGTGGCCCATTACTTACTATGAAACCTTGGGCAAATAAGTTACTTACCCTCTCAGTTACTCTATATCTTCATCAGCAGGGGAGAGTTAAGGACTCTCTTAAAATGTTGAAAGGCTTAAATGACATCATACATTCTAAAGTACTTAGAGCAGTGCCTGACTCATACTAATTTCTCAATACAAATTGTGTTTTAACTGCTATGGTCATTGCTGTTTTCTAGTCCATTTCTGCTTCCTTTCAACTATGGAAAATACATGGGAACCAAATAACTAGCATTTCTTTCTGAAGCATAAAGCAATTCGCTTGCCCTTGAGTGGACAGACGGCTCAATCTCAAGTGGCTTGTCTCCAAGAACTCTTCCATGATCATGTACAGAGAGTTTGTTTCCACTCTGATATCACAATGGGACCTCACATGACCTTAAATGCTGGGTGGACCTAACATGCTTTTCAATGAATAATAATGCCCACCATATCATTTGGATGTTTTCTATTAACTGCAACTCACACTCAGGTTTGAATGTCAGAATTTAAATTCCCAAATGTTCGGCTCACTTCAAGTGTTATTACAATAATGGTATAAGAAAGGTCTGGGTTCAAAATATGACTCAACCATATACTAGCTATGTGATCTTGGATAAATTAAACTCTCTAAGCCTCAGTTTCTGCATTTGTAAAGTGGTAAAAATATACTTCACGTAACTGTTGTATGAATTAAATGAAATTATATATCGCTTGGCACAGTGTCCAAAAAATTTAAGTGCGTAATAAATTATAGTCATTATTATTACTATTACCAGAAAACACATGTAGAACAGACAATACTTCTAATATGGAACATATTTCTTTCTAACTTCCTATAAAGGACTTGTTTCATAATTTTAAAATTGGAAAATAAAATTGCAGTTTATATTTTAACTGAAACTGTACTGCTCTCATTTTATCTAGTATAAAAAATAAAGCAAAATACTCTGCATACTCTTCCATTAAAATAGCCTGTAAGGACTAAATTATATTTTTTATTTCAATCACTCCTAATAACAAATTTGAAGAAATAAAAAAATATCTGAAATATTAAAAAATGAAATAAGCTGTGAGCCTTTAAAAGCAAATGGTTTAGTTTTATGTTTAACAAGTTTCAAAGTAGAAACTATTCAATCACTACCTCCAGTACCTCTATACTATTCAAGATTAAAAGTGATTTATTCCAGAACTCTAACTTTCGAATATCCTAATTTAAAAGGCAATTGTGAACTACCCAAACAGCCACATTTGTTGCTCAAAAATAAAATTATTGAAAAGAAGTAGACCTCTAAAGGACTTTTACTAATGATGATTAAGGTCTGGTCTACTCTTACTACATGATGATTAAGTTCTGGTCTTCGTGGTAAATCAATGTTCATTCTGAGCTAAATACTACCAAAAATGATTATTTGATTAGAAAGATTTGTATATGAAATCATATCTGTTTGTTAGTCAATATCTTCATTCTCTTCTTATATTCTTTTTAAATGTAACCACATATAAACACTATATAAGTTTATTAACAGCAATGAGCTGATCTCAGATGACGGAGAAACTTAAAATTCTAATTTTAAATGCATCACTCTTGTTTTAAAAAACGTGTTCAAAATCAACTTTGTCCCCCTAAAACCGAACTATGGGGCCTGCTGAGGACAAGAGATTAATTAGCATTCCCTGCCATTTTGAACATATTCCTGAAACCAAACTTACAACCACACAAACCGCTGTTGAATAGGGTAGGTTTTGTCAATGGTGACACCTAGGCCACAGAGAAAGGAGAAAACAGTCGACACTAGGCACCACAAACCAGAAGCCTACTGGGAAAAGCGGAACATGGAAAACTCAGTGAGTCATAGGATTTACTTAGTACTGTGAGGGAACCATCAGCAAAACTGAGTTCACCAATCCCAATTCTCTCTCAGTCCTCATAAGCAACATTATAGAATTAAAAGTATTGATGTAGTTTAGATTTGCTCTTTCTGCCATGCTTGTGACACCGAAGCGAAGCAACATCGTCCTTCCCTCCACCTCTTACACCGCCCACCATCCCTCAAATAAGAACAATTGTAGAGGCTTCTCCAAGTAGCACACAATCCACGCCCACACGCCTGGGCCGAGCAGCATGACACTGACAGTTTTCGGTCCCTCCCGATCTTTCTAACTCCTGGCTCCTCCGCACAACTCATAAAGACCTGGGCGGAAAACTCAAAGCGACAGCTTAGGATAGGACCTTCTGAACCCTCGGCTAAACACGGGTGGGCCAAAGAGCCGATGCTCAGCTCAACCCAGTCACCTCCCTGGAATCTCCGAGAACACGGCTGGGGAACCGCCTCCCCCCGGGAGCGGCAGAAAGGTGTCTCTAGCACTCCAGAGCCACCCCCGCCATTGTGCGGGGAAATCAAAGGGACCAGGCGACGAGACTAGGTCAGCGTGCAGTCGTGAGAGAGTTTGACTAGCAGCCGCCGCAGAGCTCTTAGGCCACTCCGCGTGGGGCGGCGGCGCCTGGCAGCAGCAAGCGGGGGAACTCGGAGCGTATTTCCCAGGGAGAAGCTCAGAGCGCCTCCCCTCTGCGGAGCCCTCCCAACTGCTCTCAGTATGAGCGCTCTACCTTCAAGAAGTGGGCAAAGCCCGGCGCTGGCTTCCCTCTGCCAGCTTCGGCCGCCACCGCGCAGGCTGCCTCCGGAGAAGGCAGCAGCCGCCCCTGACAGAGCGACGGGCCCTGCCAACTCCTTCCCATCAAACCCCGCGCTCCCGCCGCCGGCCAATCGGCGCCGCGGCCGGCGCGCGCCGCTCCCCCGTCACGTGACTGTGACCGTGCTGGGCAGTTGCGGAGGGTGGGGAGAGGGAGCTGGGCGTTTGTCCCGAGGACGCCTGCTTGTGTGACCTCGCAGCTAAATTGGGTGCTTGTTGTTGCGTCTAAGAGGTGTAATGCCATTTGTTATGACTCTTAACAATACAGTTACTTCTTACTCTCCCTCTCCCTTCTCCTTTCTTTTAAAGCCTGTTCTGCCGAATCTCAATGGAGAAAGAAAACCCCGAAATTGGTCCTAGACCACTGCGAGAGAGGAAAGGGGTTGAGGATATAGGTCTGGAAGGGAGACCTCCCTGAAGAGTCTCTGATCAGCTATCATCTAGCGGGCAGCAGAGCAAGTTAGTAGTACACAGATTAGATTAGACCAGTTCCCAAGGAAGCCAGTGGAGAAAATTCACCCTAGACTGCGGGAGTGCTTGCGGCTTTTATCTCTAGAGGACGTCAAAAAGGGTCGTTTGATGACTAGAGGCTTACCTCATCTGTGTGTGATAAGCTGCAAATTCCAAATGATTTTGATCTCAAACCGTGGATGACAATATGAGCTGAGCTTTCTTAAAACTCTTAACCTCAAGAACACTCCCTTCACGATTCCTGATACGTGGGCCCACAAATAAACCACCCAGGCTACTTACTTTTGCCTCAGATTTAAACATTGACGCTGAAGAGTGTTAAATTTCCTAATCAACTGGGAATGACAAGTCTAAATAACAAATGATACTTGAACCACACAGGGTAACTTGCCGAAAGAAGGGTAGAGAAACTCCAGCCATGTTTTACCCCTGTGACGTTTTAACCGTATGTGCAAGCATTTTTCATGGGATTTTTCTATTTTAATTAGTGACACACACATTTTAAAGTAATAAAAAGTTCCATGATTTTTAAAAAGTATAATTGTTGTTATATGCTGCTTAAACTTTGACAACACAAACAGGTAAAGTAAGAAAAGAAACTTAATGTAGTGTCTAGATGGTAAGAATAATTATCCTGAAAGCTACCAAACAGATAATTCACTGTAGAGTTGTTTGTCCTAGATGCTAAAATATTTAGTTACAGCTTTGTAAACTTCAAAGGATGAAGGAAAGGGAATCAGAGTGTATTTCTCGTGTACTCTGTACCAGGTACTTTACAAATCTAGAAATTTACAAAAAATAAATTCACCTATTTTGATATGTAAATTATACCATTTTGTTTTTCAACCTTTGCTATTTCAAAGTTTTTTTTTTTTTTAAAAAAAAGGAGGGGGTGGGCTGTGCAGTTATGCAAATACTACATCTCACCTCAGGAAGATCTCTTTTCCTAAGAGAATAGGGAAGAAATGTTTTCCACTTGCTAAAGATTTGTCTCTAATTTTAGTAGAACTATCAAGATCTATTGTAAAAGGGAAAAATAGGAGAAGGGAAACCTAGAAGAGCTAGCTGGGTGCAAAAAAATTCAAAAAGCCTAATCTACAACAAAATCCTCTAGGTGATTGCTCTGGAAGAGGAGAGATTTAGCCTGGCAAGGGGATGGAAAGAAGTACTTCATCATTAACTCTTTTAATCCTCTCAACAAACTTTTAAGTATCATTTTTCAAATAAGGAAACTGAAAAGTAGAAAGATTGTATAACACTGTACCCTGCCTCCTTTATATCAAATAGTAAGAGTTAGGCGCACTGAAAGAAGACATTACAAGCTGAGAAATCAACATATGCACTATCTGGCTGGACTACAGGCTACAGGAGTCCTTCCAAATATTTATTGAGGACAAGACCCTGTGTTAAGTGCTGAGGATATGGAGAGAAATAAAACAGCTGCCCTAAAGCAACTGACAATAGTGAGAGAAACCTTCAAGAAAACAAAAAATATAATATATAGTGAATAAGTATTGTGATAGAAAGAAAATGTGCACGATTGGAAAATGGCAAGGCAACATCAGCTAGAGGGATATGGGAAAGCCAGTGAAAGTGGTACTTTAGCTGAGTCCAAATATTAAAAGTTATTCCCTACTAATCTTAAAATTGTACTGGGCTGTATTCCAAGGAAATGAATTGGAAGAACACCAGAGAAGATAAGAAAGGAAACACTAGCCAAAGGAATCCTAAAAGGTCTAATTAAATAAATGAGCCACACTTATATAGAGAAATAAATGAAAGTTGCAAGAGATAGGTGCTATGAGAGCTTACACTAGGGTCATTCATTGGTCTGGTCAGAAAGGTTAGGGAGGGCTTCCTTGAGAAAGTCACACTGGAATAGAGATCTAAAGGATGAAAAACTCATCTTACGTAAAGGCCTTATGTCAGGCGGGAACATGACAAGCCTGAGGGACAGAAAATGGCTAGGGCATAGATTTCAGGGAGGAAGTGCTACAGTGTAAAGCCAGAGACCAGACTAAGCAGGGCCTCATTGGCCATATTGAGAACCTTTATTTTTTTCTTGAGATTTGAGAGCAAAGTGAGGAGGGGATTTGACATGATCAGATCTGTATTTTGAAAAGATCATTCCAGCTGCAGTGCAAGAATATGAACAGGGCCAGCATTGGACCAATTAGGATTTATGAGTGGTGGTTAGTGTTGGTAGTAGTTCAAGTGGATTGGGGTGGGAACAAGATGATGAAGACAAGTGGGGGAAATGGAACAATTTAGGAAGTAATATGGGCGGGGGGAGGATGTTGGTGATGGATTTAGATTTGGTGGGGCAGAATGGAAATTGAAGGAGAGAAAGAAGCCAGAGATGACAGAATTTCTGTCCAGCCCAGTGGGTGGCTAGTAATGCTATCACTGAGATGTGGGGAAATACAATCAGGTTTGTGGGGAAATGTTGATTTCAGTTTGAACATTCTCAGTGTAAGATGTGACTTCGAGGAGAGATGTCATATAAACAGATCTATGCATCCACAACATTGAGTACTCTGGGCTGGAGAAAAACATTTCACAGTTTGTAATCTGTCCTTTTCCACAAAATATTTATTTTTTCAAACAAAAAGTGGAAGTCTCCAGAGCAGTTTCCCAGACTTTCCTGTGAATCATCTGGGGCCTTCGTTTAAAAAAAAAAAATTCCTCAAGCCCTTCTCTGGAGATTCTGATTTTACGTGTCTGGTATGGGACCCAGAAATTTAGATTTTTAACAAGTGCAACTGGTGACTCTTCTTACCAGAGAGTTTCCCTAGGTAGTGGTACTCCAGAGGCCACCTACATGAGAATTACCCAAGGCCTTATTAAAATATAGATTCTTGGGCCCTGCAGACCAAAATCTCTAGGGGTATAAAGGATGGAAGGAATGGAGAAAGGACGACAGTAGGTCTTGGACCACCCTCCATCTCTAACAAAAGTGTCCTAGGCTCTCTACTGGGCAGTTCAGAGAAATGCTGGTGTCCTATGCCAGATGATACATATGTAGGCAGCAAGCAGCCTTCATAGGCTACTCTGATAACAACGTTCCTGGCTTCTAGCTCAGGCTTCCTGCCATATCCATTGAAATCGTGCTCAGCCCACTCTCATGCTTTTTTTCCACCTCTCCCATCAAACCTCATCCTTCCCTCACTGGTTCCCCAATCTTCTTCAGTGTTATACACCATAAGCTCCTCCCAGTTTAAGGGTCTTTTAGCTAAGCTGGCCAGGGCTGGGAGGGAAATAGGGTCAAATGCTATAATTCACTCTCAGCAAAGCTTTTTTTTTTATTCTCGAGATCTGCTTTGGAAATGTTTTTATTTTTAAAGACTGAATTGTTTGTTTTCTTTGAAGCCTTGCTATGACAACTCTTAAGTCTCTGTAAGACACTGTAGATGCTACTAACTAGATAAAGAATCAGAAAGAACGGGGAAAAAGATAAGATTAGAATTAATTTTTCGTGATAGGAAGTATAGCAAACACACAGAAAAGTTCATAAAACAGAAGCGTCCTACTTAAAGATTATAACTCAAAACACTCATGTAACTCTACTGTGTCAAAAAAGCAGAACATTACCAACACCCCCAAAAGGTCCCAATGTGCCCCATTCCTTATAACCAAGTGCCTAGAGATAGCCACTATCATAATTGTAAACATATTCACTTTCTTGCTTTTCTTTATAGTTTTACTGCCTGATTACTCATTATTAAACAATATAGCTTATGCCTATTTTTAACTCTATATAACTGAAATCACATATTTTTCACATCTTAAATTTTTCTGATCAGTGCTATTTATGTCTTTAAGATTCTCCCATGTGATGTGGCTGTAGTTTATTCATCTTCATTGCTTAGGTTACTATATTGCATGGATATACCACAATTTATCTACTCTACTATTGATGGATATATAGGCTATTTCAACTATTATAAACAATGCTGTTGTGAGAGTGGTGTGTGTGTGTGTGTGTGTGTGTGTGTGTGTGTGTGTGTGTGTGTGTGTCATGGAGCACAGAAACACAGATTTCTACAGAATTTTTACCTTATAATGGAATTCCTGGTTCATAGGGCATGTTTATCTTCAGCTCCACAAGATCAAGCCAGACAATAACATATATAAGTTCCTGATGCTCTATGTCCTCACCAACATTTGAATTGTCCAACATTTTAATTTTTGCCAATCTAAAAGGTGTGTAATGTCAACTTATTGTGACTCTACTTTGCATTTCTCTGATTGTTAATGAAGAATAGAATCTTTTCATATAAGCATCAGCTCATTGTTCAGGTGTTTTCTCATTTTTATATTAGGTTATTTGTCTTCTCCTAATCAATATTTATTGATTGATTTTATATTCAGTTGATTATATGATACTTTTTCCACTCTGCGACTTGCCTTTTCACTCTCTCAATGTCTTTTGATGAAAAGAAATTCTTAATATAGTTAAATGTATCACTCTTTTCCTTTATAATTAGTGGTGTCTGTATCCTATTTAAGAGATCTTTTCCTACCTACCCTACGGTTGTTAAGTCTTCTGTACTGCCTAAGCAAATCTGAAATTAATTTTACTATGT